ACACACTGCAACCACTTTTTCCATTCCACTCTGCCAAGGCAATGAGGTGGAGCAGTTCTTCTGTGAGATCCCCCAGATCCTCAAGCTGTCCTGCTCAAATTCCTACCTCAGGGAAGTTGGCCTTCTTGTGGTTAGTGGCTGTTTAATCTTTGGGTGTTTCATTTTCATTGTGCAGATCTTCCGAGCTGTGCTGAGGATCCCCTGTGAGCAGGGCCACCACAAAGCCTTTTCCATGTGCCTCCCACACCTGGCCGTGCTCTCCCTGTTTATCAGTTCTGCAATGTTTGCCTACCTGAAGCCTCCCTCCATCTCCTCCCCAGCTCCGGACATGGTGCTCGCTGGTCTGTACTCAGTGGTGCCTCCAGCAGTGAACCCCCTCATCTACAGCATGAAAAATCCTGAGCTGAAGGGTTCCTTGACGAAAGTGATTTCATGGACGTTTTTCAACACTAGTCTTTCTCTCCACAATTACTCTTTCTATATTAAAACTTGATTAGGTCCTGTTTGTTCATGTTACTTTCATTGTGCCTTTTATTAGTAATAATCATGGAAATCACGTTGCTCAACAAGACCTTGGATGCAGGGTGCTTTTTTGGAAACTGTTCTCTCTCACCCAGTTCATTAAGTTGTGTCATATTTTGGATCAGAACTGACTCCCTCACCGGTTCCTCTGTAATAAAATGGTTCTGCCCAGTGCACTGCCTGATGTCAATAATATGCCCAAGAACCTGCACACAAGAAGGGCCTGCTGAGCAGCTTTCTCCGGGGGTCCAGGATAGAAAACTCATCATCTTATAAGTATCCCTTTAGAGATCACAGGGTGAATTTGAGAATCTCTTATCAGTGACCAGGAATAGGGTGGAGGTTGAGTGCTCCTGCATTTGCATGGCCAGAGCTGGGCCGCGTGTTAAAGCAGAGTGTCACATTCGTTTCTAACTGCAGGGGATGCTGGAGATGCCAGGAGAGCAGTGAGTGGAGCCTCCCAAGGGGAGAGGTCCTCCAAGGTGGAGACACCTAAAGCTAAAGGGCTACACCCAGGTATTTGGGGGCAAGGCAGCTCTGCAGTGTCAGGAGCAGCAGGGAGGACACAGTGGGCACAGGGGAGGGTGGATGCAGAGTCACACTCTCAGAAGTACCTGGGGCAGGATCTGGAGGTGCTGCTGGACACAACCGGTGCCCTCAGAAAACTCTGTCATTGTTCATGGCCCATGACAGATCTGCAGACTCCCAGGGAGATTTGAGGCCACAGATCCCATTGGTTTGGGTCTTTTTCCCATCCTGAGCAGAAAAGCAACAGTGGAGACATGTCCTGTTCTCCATGTGTCCAACTGCCCACTTGCTCTGTGAAGCAGCACCGTGAGCTCAAGGTCTTTTGTTGAGAACAGGAGAGGGAACTGTGAGAACAGAAAACAGATCAGAGTAGGGCTTTTTGAGATGAGAAGGAAGTGGAACTGGGCGTGAAGGGAACTTGGAGAGAAAACTGCTGACCTTGAATCCAAGACAATATTCAGAGTGTGGGTCCACCACAGCGAACTCCTGGTGCAGAGGCAGACAACGCTGCTGTGCTGGCCCACCACATGGCCTGGGAAGCAGAGGAAGAAGGATCAATGCTGCCCATCCTCCCACCTCATATTGGCACCAACCCTCCTGAAGGGCGGGTGGCACCAACTCTAAGGCTGAGAGCCCTTGTCGGGACCTGCATTGAAGGAAGCAGGACCCAGGAGCCACATCCCTTTGCTGCTGTCTCTCAGCACCTGTCCCCAGCACATGGCCTTGAGAGGATCTGCCCCACTCTGCATGCTGCCCGTTGCTGCAAAGGCCCCGTTCAGAGCAGGCTCCATGCCCAGATGCAGGACGGTGTGTGCAGCTGTGAGCTCCTGGGGTGTCTGCAGGGCTGGCAGGGAGCATTCAGAGACGATGCTGGGGCTGTGTATGGGACCAGAAGATCATCTCCTCCTCCCATGGGGACCATCAACAGGGTCTGTCAGAACAAGCATCGAGCGCAGACTACTTTTTGGTGAATTTTTTTGGAAGGAAGATTTAGGAGCATGCGGAATCTCCCCCCAGCAGCCATTCCCAGCAGTGCCCATTGGCCATGGTCCCGGCAGGGCTCCTCTTGGAAGGTGCCCAGCTCCGCGTGCCTGCTGGACGCAGCAGCTCCATGGGGGCAATGGGCGCCCTGCGTGGGCTCTGTGTGGGCCCCGAGCCCAGCAGAGCCCTGAGCACGGCCTTGTGCTGAGCCCAGCAGGGCAGCAGAGCTGGGCCAGGGCGGCAATGGGCAATGGGCACGACACCCCCAGGACACCCCACAATTCCTCTCCTAACCCTAATCCTAATTCTAAAGGTCTAACTCTAACCCTAAACTTCTTTTTTTCTAGTCCTAGCCCTAATGCTAGCCCTCTAACCCTAACTCTAACCCTAGAACCCTAACTCTAACCTAACCTGCCTCCTACCCCTACCCACTAAACACTTAAGTATTATTGGAACCCATATCTTTATTTKGATTGATGTGGATGAGCTCTTAAAGCTGACCTAGACGCTTACCTTTGACTTGGAGTAATGACCCCCAAGTGTGATTTAGGTGCCAACCCTGAGTTTTGAAGTCTAGTTCTCTAGTATCACGCTAACCATGGTTGTAGCCTTGATGGACACCAGGTGGTGATGTAGGAGTACTAATAGGAGGTGGTGAAGTGATATAACAATAAGGGGATGTTTTGGTACGGTGGTGTGTGGAGTTTTTGAATCTCCACCAGGTGGGCTCTAACTCCACTTATATTTCGTGATGGAAATGTAGGTCTGGGTGATGTGGAGGAATTCTGTTGTTTTGTCTAGTGTGATTTCGCTTGTTTCTCTTTTAATAATTTTCCTTGTGTTCTTGTTGTTGTTCTTTTTTTTTGTTTGCTACATGTTTGGGTCTCATGGTTACTTTATTACTCTACATCGTTGTTGCTTTGTTTTTTGATGTTTCACCTTTTTTTTTGGAGTGATTGTTTTTGTGGTATGTGTTTTTGTTGTATGGTTTGTTTGGTCTTGGTGGATGTTTTATGTTCCTGATTGTGGAGTTTTAACTGTGTTTTATGGTAAGGTGTATTGTGTAGAGTTTTTTGCATGTTTTGCAGGGTCATGCTTGTGAGTACTCATTGTGTAATGGGCATATTTTGTAGTTTTTATGTTGTTGTTTCCTGTGAGAGACTTCAAATGTTTTGCGAGACTGTCTTTGCAGTTGTGCGTGTGTTTTTTGTTGTTTGCTGTGTGTGTATTAATATCTGTTTTCTTTTGTTTTTGCTTTTGTTAAGGTTTTTTTGTTGGTGGTGGTTGTGCAGAATGTGCTGTAGATATTTAGGTTGTGTGGAGTTTGTGTTTTGTATCTTGATGTTTCACTCTTTATGTTGTCTAGTCAACTTGTGGACCTTGGGAGAGCTCCTCCAGGAGCTCTCAGGCTGCAGGAGCATTCACCTCCTTCCTGACCCACCGCACATGGGATTCCTTTTGCCTAAGTGCAGGGGAGTGCAGATCATGTCCATCTGGCTGGCAAATACAGCAGAGGACATCCAGGAAAGCCTGAAAAAGCGCAGCCTGTGTGAGGCCTGGGGAGTGCAGAGCTGGAGGGAGGAAAATTCACCCTGCTCCCCAGAGAGCAGCTCCCAAACTGGCTCATGAACCGGGACCAGAGCTTGGAGGGAAAGGATGTGGGGAGGAGTGTCCTCACGGAGATGGCTGACCAGGACAATGTGATAGGGTCTACATGATCACCATCAGGGCACCCTCTATCTCTAGTGATGAGACACAAGGCCTTAAACAAGGGGCATGCATGCAGATACCTGTTCTGTGCTCACCTCCACATAGCCAAAAGGAGTCCCGTGTCCTGTGTGTCTGTGGTGTGCACAGGAGGGAGATGAAGGCCCCTGCAGTCTGAGAGCTCCTGCAGTGTCCTGGTCCTGTCCTGCCCATTCCCCATTCCTGGCCTGGCCCAGCTCTGCTGCCACTCACTGTACTGGACCCACACTCTGAATATCGTCTTGGATTCAAGGTCAGCTGTTCTCTCTCCAAGACTCCTTCACACCCAGTTCCAGTTCCTTCTCCTCTCAACAAGTCCCCCTTTCATTCTTTTGTCTGTTCCCACACTTCCCTCCACTCTTCTCCCCATAGTAYCTCGATCTCACGGTGCTGCTTCGCAGAGCAAGCAGGTGGTTGGGCACACAGGGAGCAGGAGGTGTCTCCACTGTTGTTGTTCTGCTCAGGGTGGCACGCACACCCCACCAAATGGGTTTTCTGGCCTCGAATTTCATTGGGAATGTGCGGCTGTTTCAGGTGCTGGAAGGAACTACAGACATTTCTGAGGGCACTAGTTGTGTCCAGCAGCACCTCTAGATCCTGCCCCTGCTATTTCTGAGAGTGTGACTCTGCAGCCTCCCTCCCCTGTGTCCACTCTGTCCTCCCTGCTGCTCCTGATACTGCAGAGCTCTGCCTTGCCCCCAAATACCTGGGTTTAGCCCTTTACCTTTAGGTGCCTCCACCTTGGAGGACCTTTCTCCTTGGGAGTCTCCACTCACTGCTCTCCTGGCATCTGCAGCCTTCCCTGCAGAAAGACACGAATGTGACACTCTGCTTTAACATGGGGCACAGCCCAGGCTGTGTAAATGCAGGACCACTCAACGTCTGCACTGTTCCCGGACCCTGATAAATGATTGCCAAATCCACCCTGTGATCTCCAAAGGCATCCTTACAAGATGGCTTTTTTGATGTTGAACCCTTGGAGAAAGCTGCTCAGCAGCACCTTACATTGTGCTGCTTCTTGGGCATATTATTGACATCAGCTTTGGAAGAATCACAGCCTTCATGCAGTTCCCTTTTTAGAAAATATTTTATTACAGAGGAGCAAGTGAGGGAGTCAGTCCTAACCCAGCATTTGACACAAAGGACCAGGTGAGAGAGAACCATTTGAGAAAAAGTACCACGCATCCAAGTACTTGTGTAGCAGCGTGGTATTTATTATTCTGTACTAATAAAAGGCACAATAAACGTACCAGGAAGAAACAGTGTTCAATCCAGTTAGGACACAGAAAGACAAATTGCAGAGAGAAAAGGCAATTTTACCATGGATGAAAAATGTCCGTGAAATCACTTTCTTCAGGGCATCTTGGAGCTCCTTATTCCTCACGCTGTAGATGAGAGGATTCACTGCTGGAGGCAACACTGCGTACAGAGCAGCCAACACTAAATCTAGAACTGGGGAGGAGATGGAGGGAGGCTTCAGATAAGCAAAAAATGAAGTGAAAACAAACAGGGAGACCACAACCAGGTGCGGGAGGCACATGGAAAAGGCTTTGTGGCGGCTCTGCTCAGATGGGATCCTCAACACAGCTCTGAAGATCTGCACGTAGGACAGCACAATGAAAATGAAACACCCAAAGACTAAAGAGGCACTAACCACAAGAAGCCCAAATTCCCTGAGGTAGGACTCTGAGCAGGACAGCTTATGAATCTTGGGAATCTCACAGAAGAACTGCTCCACCTCATTGCCTTGGCAGAATGGTATGGAAAAAGTGGTTGCAGTGTGTAGGAGAGCATTGAGAAACCCAGTGGCCCAGGCAGCTGCTGCCATTCTCACACAAGCTCTGCTGCTCATGAGGGTCCCATAGTGCAGGGGTCTGCAGATGGCAACGTAGCGGTCATAGGCCATGACTGTGAGAATACAGTACTCAGCTGAAATGCAACTTGTAAAACTTAAGACCTGTGCAACACATCCTGAGTAGGAAATAGCCCTGTTGTCCGAGAGAAAATTGGCCATGGATTTGGGCACAGTGGTGGAGATGAAAGTGAGGTCAAGGAAGGAAAGGTTGAGGAGGAAGAAGTACATGGGGGTGTGGAGGCGGTGGTCGCAGGCTATGGCCGTGATGATGAGGCCGTTGGCCAGGAGGGCAGCCAGGTAGATGGCCAGGAAGAGGGAGAAGTGCAAGAGCTGCAGCTCCCGTGTATCTGCGAATGCCAGGAGGAGGAACTCATGGAAGGAGCTGCTGTTGGCCATTTGTTCCATTGAGCTGAGGAAAACTGTCTGAGAAAGAAAAGGCAGTGACAAATTAGAAGAATTTTCTCTAAAAATACCCCCCAAAATAGAAAACAATAAACAAAAAACCCACAAGGCAATTGGCCAGGAGGGTAGACAGGTAGATGACCAGGAAGAGGGAGAAGTGCAAGAGCTGCAGCTCCCGCGTGTCTGAAAATGCCACAAGAAGGAACTCATTTTATGAGCTGCTGTTGGTCATGTCTTCCATTGAGCTCAGGAAAACTGTGCAAGAAAGAAAAGGTAGTGACAAATTTGAAGTATTTTCTATACAAATATCCCCCAAAAAAGAAAACAATAAGCAAACAAACAGAACAAAACCCACGAATCCTTTCAAGTTTTCATAATAATTCTTTCTCTTGCCCTATCTCTTCTCCCAGTAATATGGACAGATTTATTTTCTTCTTCTCAGAATGACATATGCTGAGCTCTTCACCCTCAGCTTCAGCTTAATTGCGTCTCTGAGATTAAGGATTGATGACACAGGACATTCATCTTTAGTCTGAATGGTCTGAAGGTCTGTTAATAACCCCACCCAATGTTTCAGAAAGCTGGGGTTGCAGCAGGGAGTTTTAGCATTTTTTACTATTGCTTTGTCAGGCAATTTCAGATTTTGATCTCACGTCTGATTGACGGTTCTTTGTATAGATCACTATTTCGACTGCGGCAAGCACAAATATTAAAGAGAGCATGGAGGGCTCTCCTCCCTAGAATGAGGAGTGTTTTTATGTCCATCTGCCTTGTTCCCAGCTATCTGGTCTTCGCACCTGTCTTACCCAGAGGACAATTTCACCCACAAGAGACTCTAATATGGTAGAAGACTCTGAGAGGATGAGGGAAGGCTGGTTTCAAAGCACTGACCTAACTCTGCTCTCCTTAGCCCAAGAGGGACATGTGATGGCGAGAACAGGACACTGATCCTGACGCGGATGATCACACCACGGAGCCAACACCTTCTCCAACCCCAGCTACTGCACTGCCCGGCATCCTGGGGTGAGAACCGGCCCCAGGCACCACAACCCCGTGCAGAGACACATGCAAGGACCTCAGGGTCTCAGAGGGTCTTGAGTTTGTAGCTGAAGCCCCAGCTGGCCACAAGAAGAGGGACAGAGAGGAGAGGTTGGGAAATGAGGAGAATCACCGTGACTCTGCTGCCAAGGGAGGACAGAGAGACAGAGGCACCAGCCCCAGGTTCCACCTCCTAGACGGTGGCACCTCCCAGGGCAGAGCTTCTCARCGCAGGTGCCTTGTGGTGGGAAATGGGCCCATGGCAGCAGAGAGGCAGCTCTGCTCTCCTGCACATCTGACCACAGGAGGTGCCAGATGCCCTAGAGCCCTTCACCTTCAGAGCAGAGTGAGACTAAGCATGGTGAGAATGATGAGAACTGCCAAGGGGATATTGCTGCAGCGCTCACGTGAAAAGATGGGTGAAGGAACGATCTGTGATCCTGGCAGACCTATGGATCCCTCACAGTAGCTCTGCAGAAGTCCCCTTCAGTTACCTCAAGCTAAAGCATTCTCTTCATCCGGTGCCTTGACAAAGATGCAACCCAAAATCTGAGCCTCCTCGACTGCCTTCCCCTACAGGGAAGCTCCCCATGAGTGTCCTCTTGAAGAGTTGTGGGAATGACCTGGATCAGGGAGCAGCCCTGACACTCACAGCCTTTCAGCAGAATGAACCTGCCCTGCTGGGTGTCTCTCTTCCCACGCAGAGCCTCTCCCCACTGCAATGCAGGGAGCTTCTACAAAGGCTGAGTGCTGACCTAGAGCTTCTAGGCCAGCTGAGTGCTGACCCTCCCAGCTGGCAGAGTCACTGCCCGGGCACACAGSACGCTGGGGTGCAGGGACACTGCTCTGAATTACAGCCCAGGACACACCTGCATGCACACCCTGCGCACACTTCACTGCCCTGCACCAGCTCGGGAAGCAGTGGCCATGATGACCTGCTCCTTGATGCTGTGAYAGGCAGCCTCTGCTCCAAAACTCCCCCCCTCCTTCGCAATGAAGAACTCAGGAAAAACAATCCTTTAAAAGGAGTCATCAGCTTGAATGTGTGCACAAGACTAATTGAGCAACCTCAGCACCACAGCAACCACAGTACCTGTAGCCAGAGACTCACCATGTCAAAGATCTCCACCACCATCAGCATTGATCTGAGCTCCCACTCCTCACTGCTGTTGCCCTCTCTCTGCCTCCTCTCCTGTGCTGTGCGCAGCAGCAGGCAGTGCCCGCAGCCCTGCTGCTCTGGGCACAGCAGCTGCTCCTGGGCACGGCGGCTCTGGGCAGGGCTGCCCGGCTGCCACGAGCTGCCTGCGTCCCACGAGCCTGGCCCCGCTCAGCAGCAGAGGCCCACATCAACTCAACTCTCTCCCTTGGGATCCCTTCTCCTGGGGAAAAGTCTACTTAAATAAATTAAAATAACCACCTGTTGTCATCTCCTAATGCGTGGAGGGAAACAGATTGCAACATTGCAATTTATTGCATCAGAGGATGGATGTTGAGGAAAGCTGGAAAAGTTCCACTCTGGAACACCTGATACACAGGACTTTTAACTCGGCTGCAAATCTAGATGGGACAAGAAGGGAACCCTTTGACACATGGTTCAGATACTGAGCTATTTCAATATGGGTATGTCATAGGATCAGAATCATTATGGTTGGAAAAGACCTGCAAGGTCATGGAGTCTAAGTGTAAAATCTTCAACCCCATTCTTGCTCAAGCACATCCCTCAGTGCTTCATCTACACATTTCTTGAACACTCTCAGGCAAGAGGACTCCACCATTTCCCTAGGCAGCCTGTTCCAATGCTTCACCACTCTTTCCGTAGAGAAATCTTCCCTAATATTTATCCTGTACTTCCTCTGGAATTACTCAAGGTCATTTCCCTTTCTTTCTGTGTAGTCACACTGGAGAAGAGATCGGTCCCCATATGACTACCATCTCCATTCAGGTAGTTGTAGAGAGCATCAAGGTCACCCCTGAGTCTCCTCTAGACTAAAGAACCCCAGCTCCATCAGCCGCTCCTCAGAAGCTCTGTGCTCCAGCCCCTTCACCAGCTTCATTGCTCTTCTTTGGACACACTCCATCTCCTCAATATCTTTCTTGTAGTGAGGGACCCCAAAATTGAACAGTGTATTCAAAATGCGGCCTCTCCAGCTCCAGATGCAGGGGGATGATCACTTCCCTGGTCCTGCTGTCTACACTGTTCCTCACACAAGCCAGGAGGTTGTGGGCCTTCCTGGCCCCCTGGGCACACTGCTGGCTCATGTTCAGCTGACCCATTTGGGACCCATACCCCAAATTCCTTTCTTCTGTGCAGCTCTGCAGCCACTGCGCCCCAAGCCTGGAGAGCTGAATGGGGCTGCTGTGATGGCAGAACAGGACTCAACACTTGGCCATATGGAACCTTCTGCAGGTGACCTCCGTGCATCACTCCACACTGTCCAGATCCTTCTGTGATGTTTTCCTACCCTCAAGGAGATCAACAGTTCCCCATAGCTTGATGTTGTCTGCAAATGTGCAGAGGGTGCACTCAATCCCCTCCTCCAAATCTTCAGTAAAGATGTTGAAAGGACTTGTCCCAGCACGACCTGTGGGAAACCCTGCCTGTGTCCTGTGACCAGCTGCATTTAATTCCATTCACCACCATTCTCTGCACCCAGCCATCCAGCCAGTTCTTCACCCCCAAAAGATTACCCCTGTGTAGGCCCTGAGCTGCTAGCTCTCCAGGGGAAGACAGTGGGAACCTGTTCCAAAGTCCTTCCTGCAGTCTAAGTAGAGCACGGCTACAGCCCTTCCCTCATTCACTAGGTGGGTCCCCTGGTCATAGAAGGAGACCAGGTTGGTGAGGCAGGACCTGCCTTTCATGAACCCATGTTGGCTGGGCCTSATCCTCCAGTTGTCACTCACATGCGGCATGATTGTCCACTGGATCATCTACTACAGAACTTGCCCTGATAACGAGCACAGTCAGACAGGCCTGTGGTTCCCTGGATCCTCCATCTGACCCTTCTTGTAGATAGACATCATGCTGGCAAGTCTCCAGTCAACCGGGACCTCTCCTGTTGACCAGGACCACTCATAGATGATGGAAAGAGGTTTAGTAAACGCTTCTGCCAACTCCTTCAGAACCCTCAAGTGAATCTCATCTGACCCCATGGACTCGGGCAGGTCCAAGCGATGTAGCAGATCTCTGACTGTTTCCTCTTGCATTCTGGGGAGTTTATTAAACTCTCCATAGGTGTCTTCCAGCTCAGGAGCCAACTACCTTGAGAAGAATTGATGTGGGTGTTACAGACTGAGGCAAAGAAGGCATTAAGTATCTCTGCCTTAGCCTCATGCTTGGTGACAATGCTTCCCATCGCATCCAAGAAAGGATGAAGATTCTCCTTGGCCCTTGTGTTCTTGTTGATGTTTCTGTTGAAACATATTTGGTTGTCTTTTAGAATACTGGCCACACTGATTTTCAGAAGAGTTTTTGCCTTTCTAATTTCCTCCCTACCTACCCTACCTAGGGACACATGAAGAGAGCCAGAGAGAGGAAGGCTTGCCCTGGGTAGAGGAAGAGTGGGTCAGAGAGCATCTAGGGAGACTCGACACCCACAAATCCATGGGCCCTGATGGGATGCACCCCAGAGTGTTGCGGGAACTGGCAGATGTCCTAGCCGAGCCGCTCGCCATCATCTTTGGAAGGTCCTGGAGAACGGGGGAGGTGCCGGAGGACTGGAAGAAAGCCAACATCACTCCAGTCTTCAAAAAAGGCAAGAAGGAGGACCCTAGTAACTACAGGCCGGTGAGCCTCACCTCCATCCCCGGGAAAGTGATGGAGCAGCTCATCCTGGCTGCTCTCTCCAGACACATGGAGSAGAAGAAGGTGCTCAGGAGTAGCCAGCATGGATTCACCAAGGGGAAATCCTGCTTGACTAACCTGATCACCTTMTACGAAGGAATATCTAGCTGGATAG